ACTGGACGTGTAACAGAAATGGGGTTTAGTGATGTATTGAGCTGCAACAATAACCAAAATACAAATTCCAATTTCAATATGGCTGTCATTGAGTCAGTAAATGAAACAGTATTATCAGGTGTTTGCACTCCTCTGATGCAGAATCAAGTGGATCAAATACCTTTGGACATGAAATCCCTCTCAGAATAAATCTGCGCATCAAACTGGATACAACCAAATGATGTTTCCCATTATGCGTGTTTGCATTGGGAAAATCTAAGGGTGTAAGGTGTTATGCTGCTTTTAGCAATATCACAGCAGGGGGGACACTAGAAATGGTTTTCACCGATTTTACACATGTGGCAAATCGGACCTTGGTTTTCAGCATGACAAGCAAATGCTCTGATCACTAGGCTACCATACCACCCCTGCTGGATCTGTATAGAGTCGTTATACAAATATGAAATATCTAGAACTCTTTACACTCTGAACTATGGGTAATGCGACAATAAACACCACTCACTCACTATGAATTTGTGGTTACTTAATAAGCAGGTTCCTCCTGAATGTAGACATCTAAAGGTGGCTGAGTCCCCCCCCCAAACAACCAAAACAAATAAAAATAAATAAAAAACAACATCAAACCACAGTAGAAAGCGAAGAGCCTAATGGTGGTAATGGCAGACTAGAGTGAGTGAGTGAGTTAAAATTTAACGTCACATGGGCAATATTTCAGCCATATCGTGACGAGACTAGAGGACATGCAAAGGGCACAAAGACTTGCCTAGAGACAAACAGGGCACAGGATCCATACACGTCTCTATATCTTGTCAGTCGTATCCCCAAACATTGGCCGCAACGTTGATCGCGGAGACACCTTGGATGAGTGGCTGTGATTGGCAGCTTGACTCCTGAGAGTTTCTACGACTTTTGTTCTCTCCCACAATGAAGGACATGTGATACATGTAGTCTCACCTTAGGCAACTGAGTTTGTTAAACATTTCCTCTGATCACCCAGCAGAAAATGGGTACCCGGTGAGAGTCAAGTGACTATTAACCTTCTAGCGCCTCACAGGTAGCTTGCGTTAATCGGGGTAATAATAATCACATTCTGATAACAGCGTCCAGTGAGCAACTAGTCAGATGGATACTAGGCGCTATATAAAATAATTATTATCATTATTATTATTAATATGCCATAAAAGTCGGTTATGTAGCATTGCATATATCAACATCAATTGGGAAACCTTTAATTAAACACTGAATTTTTAATAACATTTGCAGCTGACTTGGGGCCAAATATCGGCTTTTGAACAGGTCTAAATAAATCCCAGGGTAAGAGAGTGGTTGAAAGTTGGTTCTATTGTGACGAAACTGCTGAATCATCAATTTACCAGGCTGTCATATACCTGAAATGTTGCTGATGTTGACATAAAAGATACATCCATATTCTTAAACAATGACTCAGTTCATTCCCTGATGCCTCAGCAAGTCACAATGCAGTACATATATACTACTCAAAAAATATTAGGAACATCCTACCTTTCTTAGCCTTGCTCCAAGGCTGTACTGCATGCTAAGCCCATGGATGTATAATTCTAGCCTTCCAAGAGTGAGTGAGTATGGTTTTGCGCCGCTTTTAGCAATATTCCAGCAATATCACAGCGGGCGACACCAGAAATGGGCTTCACACATTATACCCACGTGGGGAATCGAACCCGGGTCTTTGGCGTGACGAGTGAACGCTTTAACCACCAGGTTACCCCGCCGCCCCTATCCTTCAAAGAGGCAAGTCCAGATAAGCGGACCACTAGCCTTGCTCCAAGGCTGTACTGCATGCTAATACCATGGATGTTTAATTCTATCCTTTAAAGAGGCCAACCTAAGGATGCCAGTCTGTTTGAGGGACGATGTGTTAAATTTTTTTATATTGTTTAGAAATTATCATTTCAACTATTAATCATTACCTTTAAGACTTGTGCAAGTCTAAACCTTTTTGTATGGCTCCAGTATATTTGTGGGTAGTGCAATCCAGCCTTCCAATGGTGGGTTTTCTTAACATGTTTTGAGCAGAATATATCAAAACTATATTTATTGAGCGGGAATTTACTGCTGCATCATCATTATTTAAACTGTTCGCAATGAGAAATGAAGCATGAATTACAATACCAATTTCAATAATTTCAAACGTAATGAAATTTTCATTGTTAAAGATTAGTCATATTGATCAGTGGCAACATTTTGTACTCCAAGTTCAATAGAATGGTGCTTTGCACTCATCAAGTACGCAATGCCGTGTATTTTCAGAGGTTGCACTGTGGTAAAAGGTCAGAATTGGTAGACTCCAATGAACCATTTGAAGATACCAAGGCTAAACAGTGTTCTGCAACAATAGACACAAACTGTCTACAAAGTCCACAGATAAACAGCGCTGCAGTGAGTTGCCAGGTACTGGCTACAAACATCCCACTGCATCAGTGATCAAAGTGACCACATTGAGGGGCCATCTCAAAACCACTCCACTCATTTATCTCAATCAGAAATCTGTAAAACTAAATGATGTAAAAAACATACTTGTCACTGAAATACTGAACAAATCCAAACATCAGTAATATTTTCTGTTAGATTTCCTATATGCTTTTTTGATAATTTCTTTTTAAAATGGATCCAAAAATGCTTGAGATGGTCCTTTCTGACAAACAAAGCATCCATTAATTCGTATCAACATGATCAATGATAAAGATAACATGATTATTCCCCTGCAATAACATGTTGCAGGTCAGTGCTACAGGCAACACCTGTGTCCAGGTCAACACATGGCCCCATTGATGCTTTCTATAAGGATAGAAATGGAGTGAGTGAGTGAGTGAGTGAGTGGGTGGGTGGGCGGGCAGGGCAGAGTGAGTGAGTGAATGGTTGGTGGTGAGTGGTTGAGTGTAGTGAGTGAGTGAGTGAGTGAGTGAGTGGGTGAGTGAGTGAGTGAGTGGTGAGTGAGTGAGTGAGTGAGTGAGTGAGTGAGTGAGTGAGTGAGTGAGTGAGTGGTGAGTGAGTGAATGGTTGGTTGGGTAGTGAGTGAGTGAGTGAGTGGCATGCTTGGTGGCTGCATTGAGTGGGTGGTTGAGTGGGTGGTTGAGTGAGTGGTTGAGTGAGTGGTTGGTTGGGTAGTGAGTGAGTGAGTGAGGTTTCTGTCTCAAGTTCTGAATATCTACTCACAACAGGACTCCTTTACAATTTAGAATGAATTTCTTGTTTCTCTCAAAAACATATATTTTCAGAGCCCATACAATATGTGTATTATCACATGATACCAACCACTAGTATAAATGGTCTAGTAGATATGATTAATAATAGGCCTGTAGGAATATCATGCATGGAAGTTTAAACAAAAGACCAACCCACCTTTAGAGACCTGTTCTAATCAATGTGTAGCCATTCTCCTACGGTAGCCCATTTCTGGTGTCCCCGCGTGATGTTGCTGGAATATTGCTAAAAGCGGCGTTAAAACCAAACTCAGGTCAGGTCCTACAAAGGATTACCCAACACAGTCAGTGCACCAATAAACACACACTTGCTACAGACAGTCAGACAAAGAGTACTTTCTGTGACCTGGTTGACAGACACACCTTAGCAAAGAAAAACGAACAAATTATTCATTAAGTTGATCATAAAAATTAATGATTTATTCTCATTTGTCACGCCTGTGAAAGCTGTGTTGTGTCCCATGATGCAGTTGTTTAAAATAGCAATGTCCGTCGGTAGTGCATTGAACTGTGAAACACCTGAGTTCATTGTCAGAAAAAACAAGAGCTGAATTTGTACATCATTTTCAGGTAGACTGACTGAGTTTGGTTTATGCAGTAGTAATGGTGCTTTTAGCAATATTCCAGCAACATCATCGAGGTTTGGGGACACCAGAAATGGGCTTCACATTGTACCCATGTGGGGATTCGAACCCTTTAACTTGTCTTGATCGAACATGTTGAGAGAACATGAAACTGAAAGCTTTAACCATTAGGCTACCCCACGCCCTATTTTCAGGTAGAGAAGGTGGAAACTGACTTAACTGTGTCAAGTGCATATTATACCTCTACATTACTCTGTAATTAACAATCAACAGTAGTAATGGTGACTTTGTTTGAGGGCGGTGTGGTGGCCTAGTGGTTAAAGCGTTCACTCGTTACGTCAAAGATCCGGGTTTGATTCCCCACATGGGTACAATGTGTGAAGCCCATTTCTGGTGTTCCCCGCCATGATATTGCTGGAATATTGGTAAAATCGGCATAAATCGAAACTTACTTTGTTTGATCGAACATGTTGAGAGAACATGAAAGTGTTGAGAGAATGTGACTGTGTTGAGTGAATATGGTGAATCAAGGGTATGCATTGTTATTGAGGATACAGAAAAGTACACCCAGCAGAATGGATTCAGACAAAAAATAAATCGAACATGTTGAGAGAACATGAAAGTGTTGAGAGAATGGATTCAGAGAAAAAATAAATTGCCTTCTAAATGCCACACAATAACATTCAATGTAACAAATTCTTGTCAAGAAATATAACTGCCCCATAAGTGACTATCGAATGTTACAATACACTACACGACACTGTTTCAATACTTGACACAGACTTCACATTTCCTGTAAGGACCCTTGAAATGAATTATGGGTTTTCCCGGGCTCCCAGTTTTAGAAGATAAAACTCTTGGTACACGTTTATTGCCTTGAATTTGATGTCAAATATTACCATGATTACAAGGCTCAATCATCTCAGTACATGCTATATATTGCAGTGTTCACGAATAGCATCGGACCCTCTGACAAATCCGACAGATTCGCCAACAGTCCTATAGAAGTCTACAACCCGCCGGCCCCAGTGTCTGACTGTATATTTCACAATGACTTTCACTGAAGTTGTTATATGTGACATGTTTCACTTGTTTGCTGTCATAAATCTTATGTTTGTTAATAATTTCAATGCCAATTATATGAAATGTTAAATCTGAAATGAGTGTTTCATTATATTCTATGGGTCCTGTGAATTTTCAATGTTTCAGACAGACATCTGAAACTTACAGGACCCAATGTCCTGTTACTTTTAAACACCATTCGTGAAGACTGTATTGTTGCAGTAAAGAAAAGTATCAGTAACTGCTTCAAGACAAGGTTATTCCCTGAAAGTAGAAGCCAAACATTCTTTTGTCAAATAACTCAACAATAATGTCAGCATCCAGTGATAATAACTTTCTTCTGTGATAAAACTTAAGATAAAACTTAAGAAACAAAATTTCTTATCTAGTATTTTTCTGAAACAAATACTAATATGTACATATGAAATCAGGGTTTTACAGGACGCATGATTCCTGCGTATTGGACGCAGAAAATTGATGAAGTACCTCTAAATTAAAATCCAGTGAGTTCTTTTGGACGCAATATAATTTCTTTCTAGGAAAGAACTTTCTGAGTTTGTAATGATATCCCATATTAAAATATAAACATTCTTTTTACAATCATTATGCTAATGACATTGAAAGTAGCACATATTATGACATAATCAAATGGGAAGCATCCATGATCATTGATTTCATGCAAATTGATGACTCTCAATTTTGGAAATGGACTCTCAGAATACATATGCCCTGAGTCCCCAGGACTCCCAGTTTCAAAGAGCTATGTAAAACCCTGTGAAATATCTGAACGTAGACAGTGAGGATAGTCAAATTACTAATTAGACACATAAAAGCTGTATTTATACATATGCAAATAACAAAAAATACATGAAGGAAATTAAAAAGCAATGGATGCACTACAGCAGAAGAAGAGAAATAAGAAGGCTGCTCTACGAGGCATTGGTAGAAACAATAGTTTCACATTACAATGGGTAGTTAAAAGTTGCATATTTCCAATACCATGATAATATGACATACCCCTACAAACTGGCACAGGTAAGAATTCAAGAGAACATCTTCCTTAGTTTCTAAATGAAAGTTACAGATGTGGCAAGAGATGAAACTACCGCATCGTATTATAGAGACGACTTGGTCAGGGAGTACTCCTAAAAGGGCTATTTAGTTTGATTAATCTTTAGCAAACATGCTTGTTGTGAGAGATGTGTGAGTGAGTATGGTTTTACACCGCTTTTAGCAATATTCCATCAATATCACGACAGGAGACACCAGGGCTTCACACATTGCACCCACGTGGGGAATCGAACCAGGGTCTTCAGCATGATGAGCGAACGCCTTAACCACTAGGCTACCCCACCGCCCCGTGAGAGATGATAAATGGGATAAGTTGCTTCATAATATTATTAAATGGACTGATGCTTGTGATGTTGATCATTGGATTGTTTGGTCCAGACTTGATTATTTACAGACTGCTGTCATACAGCTGGAATATTGCTGAGTGTGGCATGAAACAATAAACAAACAAAATACCACAGCAGGTCATAATGACCTCCCTGAGCCTTGATCACAGCAACAGGATGTGATGGTAATTATGGAATATAATGAAGGTTATTAATTCCTAATAATTTTTTAGGGACATAAATGATTCATTTTTCAAAACTCATTCTGGTCAGGGGTGGAAATAACTTTAAAATTGCTAGTGTACTCCGGAACAGTGGCACATGTAAAATCACTTGCCCTGATAATTTTTCCACTATACCATCCGTTTCCTTGTTGATTTTTTAAAATAAACAACATAAATCACATTGGAAAGTCAACTGGACACCGGTACAGTGTAATATGCAAATTTTCTTGCCCGACAAAAAACACACACCGAAACTCGGACGTCGGGCAATGGGTTATTTCCACCCCTGCTGGTGCAGTACAGTCAATGGATACATATTCTATTCAGGTGGGTACAATGTGTGAAACCCATTTCTGCTGTCCCCCGCCAGATATTGCTGGAATATTGCTAAAAGCAGCGTAAAACCCAACTCACTTGCTTACTCTATTCACAGAGCAATTACAGAGCACAAGATGTCAGTGATGAGAGTCTGACAATACTATTGACGACATAGGTCTAGACTTAATCTCCTTAACAACAGCAGGAGATGATGACGTACAAAACACAGGACAATGCCAGACCTCCACAACAATCAATACACACTGTTTCCTCAGGAACAGCCATAGATGTAATTTATGACATATTGACCAAAATATAGGAATTGAATCAATGTATTAGCAACATCTGCATTGGCTACGACCATGAAATGACTGGTCATTAAATAAAGGGTTTACTTTATGGATTCTTGGGAAGAAAATACCTAACAAGTCCAGGCCTTCAACATTTGCTCATTTGGTGCCATAATACATTTTCTTAAAAAAATTGTAAAATGTGTGAAGCCCATTTCCCATTTCTGCTGTCCCTCCCTGTGATATTGCTGGAATATTGCTAAAACAGTAAAAGTGGCTGGAAACCATACTCACTCACTCACTCACAACAGATCACGCTTTGACAATAAATACAGGAAATCTTCTTCCTTAGTACTTCCTGGTAGGCTATTTGTTAGATTTATGAACACTGAACGACCAGAATCTGAATTGTACAGTCACGTCCTCCATAAAATATACAATAAGAATGCTGACTGTCCCATTTCCAACTACAAGCCAATGACAGTACTGTTTCTAGTGTATGAATCTGAATAATGCATCTGCAGCTAGTGTATAACATGTGTATCTACTGTCTGCTAATAGTATAACATGTCAGTTTCAAGCTAAAGAATATTTAAGTCCTGTGACTGTCACTTGACTTCATTTTAAGTTTGAATGCTTGGATTTTTATTGGCAACGGTTACTAGGTACCCTCACAACCTGCCCCAATCATGGTAATTCCAGTCTCCATGATGCCCTGCCTGGCACTGAGAGGGCGGCACTGTCTGGACCAGTATCTGTGTCATATTCTGTCACACGGAACCCCCATGTCCCATTAGGTCGCTGCGACCTGTAACCCCTAATCATGTAACTTTGTCAGAATGATGACTCAGTAGCCGGTGCTTATTAGGGGGAGGGAAGGGGGGAGTTCACAATGCCTTTCTTCTCATTATCATTTCACTTAGCCTAGACTTACTTTAGTCTGTCATTCAGACCAGGAAACAAATACAGTCAATTTTGTTCATTACGAACATGCTTATAACGAACTGAAAGATATAACAATCTGTTTCTGTTTTCTAGCCACTAGCAGTACATTTAATCGAAATGCATATAACAAGCTACAGTTATAATGATCTAAAATTGGTGGTTTCTTTGAGTTTGTTATGATTGTATTTTACTATATGTCTAATAAAAGCCTCTGCAAGTCCATAATATTTGCAAACATAGATGAGCGACATTTTTTATCTCCTTTTCATAATATATTATTTTGGCAATTTAAGAAGTCCTTCTTTATATAATACGGTGACTAGATGATAGCTGAAGACAAATATCAGAAATATAGTTATGCATTTAAGTGGTCTTTGACCTTAAGCCTAGGCTGACGACCTTGTTTAGCAAAATTCTGTTTGGTCTTACTTTAGTGAGTGAGTGAGTATTGTTTTATGCCGCTTTTAGCAATATTCCAGCAAATATCATGACAGGGGACACCAGAAATGGGCTTCAAACATTCTACCCATGTGGGGAATCGAACCCATGCCTTCAGCATGACAAACAAACGCTTTAAGCACTAGGCTACCCCACCACCCTGGTCTTACTTTAATAAGCTCATCCAACAATAGTACATATAACACTAACTCCTACAAAAATGATGCTATGAGCCATGTTGTCTCAAAGGTATTGGCACAGACTGTTACAGGTTAAATAGAATCATTCTGTGAGGATCCTCAAGTCTCAATAGAGCCCTCAACTTGCTCAAGTTGAAGCTTGAGCTGTAAAACTGGTGAGAGTGGAATGATACAGACTGTTTTATTCAATGTATTCTCCCAGGTTGTAACAGATACTATACTCAACTCTACTACTCAGATGTTGTCTTGTTTAAACATCAACAGATTGCTATAATATATCCCTGCGAGTGTTACCATAGAAACATGATAGTACTTATCTTGGGAGTCCAAATAAAGAGCCCTTGGCAAGCAAACTGGCAAAAAATTGTTGTTTTGTTCAAAATTGGGACTTTTTAAAGTTCATATTTTCTAAACTTCAGAGACATTTATACATTGAATTTTAACACTACATTCAATTCACCAATATTAAAGTTCTTGTTTTCCAGAATTCAAAGGAATTTTTATAATGAATACATTGCATTCAATGTTCAACAAAGCGTTAAAGCTTCTTCCTCTATATCAGCCCTGTCACCAGGTTATATAAGACACCTCTACACAGCAACAAAATTAGATACAAAACCATAACATTATTTACAAATACAACAGCATGAAAAGGGAAATGTTTAATTTTATTTTGGGAATTTTTACTGACATCTGCAGACATGGGGCCACATATCGGCCTTGGAGGTCGCTGAGGTCTAAATATATCCCTGATATGAGACTGATAAATAGCCGTTTCATTGTCAGGCACTTGTATACAGGTGAATTATAAGGTAAGTGAATGCTTTAGGAGTTGAGATATGAGTTCAACATTGACTCAAGACTATTACAGAGTACAGCACTCATTGTTTTTTGGTTGTTTTTTAAAAAAACAACAACAACCCAAAACACAGCTCAGCTTTGTGAAAGGATGCGAATTATGCATGCCATAATGAATTTTTATCTCTTTTAAAAATTCAAATAAAGTACCATGTCAACAAATGAAATCATGAACAAATGAAAATTAATCATGTCATTACACTGTCTGGTTATAGAAAGTACTCATTATGATTTTAATATATTCTATTAATTAATAGTGATGTGTGTGTATGGCTGCTTAGTCCAGGGGCAATGGGGTAGCCTAGTGCTTAAAACGAGTGAGTGAGTGAGTTTAGTTTTACGCCGCACTCAGCAATATTCCAGCTACATGGCAGTGATCTTTAAATAATCGAGTCTGGACCAAACAATCCAGTGATCAACAGCATGAGCACTGATCTGCGCAATTGGGATACGATGACATGTGTCTACAAAGTCAGCAAGCCTGACCACCCGACCCCGTTAGTCGCCTCTTACGACAAGCAAGGGTTTCTGAAGACCAATTCTAACCCGGTCCTTCACGGGTCGGTAACAAGGAGGAACATCTTTCGATGTGATATGGTGAATCTTCTGCATTCCAGGCAAACTCTTTATTCACTCGACCATGAAGATCGTTTGAAGGTTTAATTGAACAGATCAAGCGCTACAGTAAACTACTACTACAAACTCAAAGGGACAACTAATTTTAGTTCGTAATATGCATTTTAACTAAAACGTACAGGCAGTGACTGTGATAAAAACACAGTTTGTTACATCTGTCAGTTCGTTATAAGCATAGACTAATGCTTACTCTCTGAATAT